TACGAATTGCAGCCAATCATCTCGTGTCGTGGAGATAGCGTGGTCTTTCGGCTTCAAGAAATATGTCCACAGCAGTCTGCTCCAATCATCCACAACCGTAAGAGAGTACCGCTCCCCCTTGTGCCCTTGCACCGGCAGCGGCCCCACCAAGTCCATGTGGACCAGCTCCAAAGGGTTGTTGCTCCTGCCAGCCAAAATATCAAAGGGGAAACGGGTAAATTCAGAGCGCAAACAAATTTCACAGTTATCGTCGGACCGTTCAGCTTCAGGCCTTTAAAGGCTCCATCTTTTTCCAGCTGCTTCAGCAAAGCCATTGCCAGCCACTATGGAAAGGGAAACGGGTATACTTTGAGAGCAACCATATTTCACAGTTGTCATCGGGTCGTTGTCCGTTCAGCTTCAGACCTTTAACGGCTCCATCCTTCTCCAACTGCTTCAACAAGCGTTGGTGTGCCGTTGCCCAATCTGTCTCCCCAGATCTGGCCGACACTTTCACACCAACCCCTTCAATTGCGTTGCACCCCCCTGGGATGCAGACACCTCTCCAGCCTGCCCACCACCGTGCCATGCCAACACCGGCAGCTGCCAAATGAAACTGTACACTTCCTTGCTCTCGTGTAGATCCTAAAGCACCCTATTTCCCAGCTGCCCCTTTCACGTGCGAGCCCCATCCGAGCTAGTGCTAACCCCAGCCTTGGAAAGTTTACTGAGGGAGATGAGGTTGGCCTTGAAATCGGGGATGAGGAGAACGTCGTGCAGCACCACCGGTTTGTCATCCACTCCCTGAAATGTAGCTCCTCCCGCTCCAGCCATCTTCAGCGTGTGTTCAGGCGCGGAGCACACCTCGTTGATTGCTGCAACGCGTACGTCGTCTAGCAGGCCTTTGCGAGAAGTTATCGTCCAAGCAACGCCGGTGTCCAACACCTAAAAGTCCAGAGGGTGCAGCTCTACTCCAACCTTGACAGATGTGTCTCCTTGCTCCCCCTTGTCTGCGACAAGGAAGAATTGGCCCGCGGCACGCTGCGCGATGTTCAAGGTACTTTCGTATGTATTTTGGCTAAGTCATTCTTGACTCCTCTTTCTACAAACTTGGATCCGAGGATAGAGGCTGGTATTGTATCAGGCACCCGGGGACCCTTGGAGGAGACCCCGAGAGATGTTTTATGTTGGATAAGGTCATAATAGTTTGAGTTGATTCCGGCCTTACACCAGCACGATTGAATTACACGGACGAGATCTGAGAAAGTTGTGATGAGAGCAAGAGTTAGGCGAGTGGAATGTGCGTGGGGCACGAACTTACCCCTCGGCCTTGCACTTCAGATTAAGCAGTTTTGAAGTCGTGTGCTTGCTCGTGCATGCACAGTAGATGTACCAGTAAATGTACGTTGTAATTGCATCCATTTGTGCCTGTGGGACTGTGGCCTAGAAACCCCTCACAAGAAATGGAAGGACTTTCATAACTCTTCTATGCTCATACGTCTGGTTGCTTGCCCCCTGCGAAAAAAACTCGCCTCCAGGCAGGCGCATTGCAAGTGTGCAACCTCAAGTATGCAAGCCTTTCATCAGGGAGTCTTTTCTGTGCGGCTGTTTCGCAAAATGTGAATGATGTGCACGAGAATCCCCAAATTAGCCTGATGCATGATATTGGGCATGAAGCATAAGTAAGGGTTCAGAATTGATATAGATTCTTAACGCCAGCCCCACAAAAAACAGTTCATCAGGTGGGTAGAGACGCTCGACAGTCCCGCTGGATAACATTTGTTTTCCAAAAGGATTGTTATTCCTTTTTCCAACAGTGGGGTGCGAGGTTTGAGTCAATGGATGAACTTGTTCTCTTGCACGACAAAGAGTGCGCACAACGAACACGGATGACTCGTCAAGTCCCCAAATTTTGTGCAAGTCACCTTGCATGACTCGGGATAATTGCATGTGTAAGCATATTACCCACGGTACGCATTGTACGTGGCACCGCTTGGATCCTGCACCCTCATCCTTGTGTGTGAGGCCAAATGTTCCATAATCGTTAAGAGGATATCTTCGAAAACATTCACTTATCAACAGAGACGTACTCGGAGTTGAATTCCAGAAGATGTGCGAACAAAACGTGACCTCAGGGCCTCCATCAGTCATGTTTATCTATGATACCCAGAGCTAGGTACATAGGATGACCCTTCGCTCTGACATATCACTCCATATGGGTCCCACCGCTCGACAAAATGAGCGCAACAACGACACCTTCCGGGTCAATTTCTTGGACCTCATTATGGAGGGTGAACCACAATCATTGGATTCCGGCGTTGAGTACACATGGATTTCCTTGTTGGGTGGGTTTGAGGACTAGTTCTAACGTGTTTTTTAAATTCGTCAAAAAATCAATCATCCCAACAACACTGTTACAAAAGAAAAACTCCAGTGCAGTTTTTAACTGCACATGCACAACTCCGCGACTCCAATTACGATGGGGGTCAGGCATACACTCATCGCATATTTTTCAACGTCTCGCACATTGCGCTAAACTTGTCACCAAGGTGTAATATTTGCAGGAGATTGTTTTTTGCGCTCTTGGACAGGTTGCATGTCAGAAGGAAGTGAGCAAATTGTTGGGTAAAATTCATTTTGCATGACATCCTGCTGTCTATTTGTACAAGTATGCGTATGCGAATGCATTTGCGTGTAAATAGTGTATTTTTGTGTGTTGCTTGCTTTCGCAATTTTCACTTGAAGCATTTGCAGGTACTCGCGCAATGTGCGCTTCCGCACAACATTGTACGCGCACTGAACAGCGCAAGCAGAAAGGACGAGCTCGCAAAGGAATCCAAGATGGAAGCTTTGCAGTTCGGTTTAATTGATTGCGCATCCAACTAAAAAATGTTCTATTAATTTTTGTTGACTATAGTGTAGAAGGGCAGGCACTATAAGTGTACAATTCAGGTGAAGGTTTGATGTTCTTTGTCTGTATCCGCATGCCACAGGCCCACAAAACAAGCAGAACCAAAATTTGGCTGCTTGGGCAAGGACAAAAAAGGTTCTGTTTTTAAAACCTCAACTTGGTTAATGTTTTCCCATGTTAGAAAGATAGAACCAGATATTGTTTACCAACCTACAACCTGTTGTTTTGTCCAGCCAGGTTGATTCTGTTGGTTGAAATTATTTGGGACCATTGTTCCCAGGTTGATTCCCAAGGTCTTTGCTAGCTAGAACTATTTATTCATTCTCTGTTTGTACCTGGATATAGTCAATTTGAATCAAACGGAATCCTTCCTTGCTGGAATTTTGTTTCTACGTGGTTCAACAGTGAAATACTACCCGAGTCAATGCTAGTACGCTAGCGCTCCAATGCTCTCCAAGCCATAAATTTAGAATGGCAGAACGTTTTGCAAGGCAACTTGGCTTATTTCAAAGCTCTTGGAGCGAGCTTCGATATAGCAAATTCTCAGCTTAATCCGATCGATGATCTGCACGGCATGCTGCGCAACATTCAAGGTGCTCTTGTTCTTTTGGGTAGGTTATTCTTGGTTCTTTTCTTTACAAACTCGGTCCCAAAGATAGGGACTGGTCTTGTACCAGGCACCCAATGACGAGGAGTGGTATTAAGTTTGATTACTCCGTGTGCGAATGCACGACGTACAATGTACTCTCTTTCTGGCTAAGCCATACTTGACTCCTCTCTCTACAAACTTGGACCCTTGGAGGTGACCCCGAGGAGAGGTTATAAATTTGATTAAGTGACCCTTCAACGAGAACCATCAATTGTCACATCACAACAAGGATAACATATCACGCCCAGGTCTACCCGCCACCCGAGCATATCTCGAAGTAAAAGGGGTTTGTGTTGGTGTAACAACGCAACGGCGGAAAAGGGGTTTGTGTTGGTGTAAGGGCCTAATAACCTCAAGCTATTAAGACTCTATCAAATTTACACCTCTCCTCGGGGTCACCTCCAAGGGTCCTTGGGTGCCTGGTACAAGACCAGCCCCTATCCTCGGGTCCGAGTTTGTAGAGAGAGGAACCAAGAATGACTTAGCCAAAATAACAAGAGTACCTTGAACGTCGCGCAGCGTATCGTGCAGACCGTCGATCGGATTAAGCTGAGAACTTGCTATATCGAAGCTCGCTCTAAGAGCTTGAAAATAAACCAAGTTTCCTTGCGAGAAGTTCTGCCATTATGAAGTTATGGCTGGGAGAGCGTTTGCCTAGCGTTCGAGTGCTAGCATACTAGCGTTGACTCGGGTAGCATTCCGCCGTCGAACCGCGTAGAAACGAAATTCCAGCAAGGAAGGAATTTGCTTGAATCAATTGACTATATCCAGGTACAAACAGAGAAGGAATAAATAGTTCTAGCTAGCAAGGACCTTGGGAATTAACCTGGAAAAAATCAGGGATGATCCCAAATAATTCCAAGCAACAGAACCAACCTGGCTGGACAAAATAGCAGGTGGTAGGTTGGTATACAACCTCTGGTTCTGTTTTTCCAACCTGGGAAAACAACAACCAGGTTCAGGTTCTAAAAACAGAACCTGTTTTGTCTTTGTCCAACCAGCCAAATGCTGGTTCCGCTGGTTTCCCCTGGCCTTGTAGCATGCAGATACAGACAAACAATATCCAACCTTCACCTAAATTGTACCCCTATAGTGCCTGCCCTGCTACACTATAGTCAACCAAACAATACAGTACAATTTCGAGTTGGATAGAACCGAATCTGCGCAATCAATTCAACCGAACTGCAAAGCTTCCATCTTGGGTTCCTTTGCGAGCTCGTCCTTTCTGCTTGCACTGTTCATAGCGCGTACAATGTTGTGCCGAAGCGCACATTGCGCGAGTACCTGCAAATGCTTCAAGCGAAAATTGCGAAAGCAAACAAGCACACGAACACACCATTCACACCCAAATGCATTCGCACACGCATACTCATACAAACAGACGGCAGGATGTCGTGCAATGTGAATTTGCACCCAACACACTCCCCCTCAGCCTGCCGGCTGCATTCCCATCATTCCATGCTAGTTCATGCTGATTCCACTCATGCGCACACAACACCAATGAGGCTCATCCGCAAGCCTCTTGGTGAGAAAGTCTGCTGGCTGCTGGTGAGTCTTGATGTAGATCGGATTCACTGTCCCCCTCTTCACCTCCTTACGCAGCCAGTGCCACTTGATACGCATGTGCTTGTTCAGCCCATGAAGCACAGCGTTCCTGGCCATCCCAAGAGCCCCCTTGCTGTCACAAAACAGCGGCGTAGCAACCTTCTGCTCCTGGCCAATCTCCTCTAACAACCTCCTCAGCCAAATCACCTCCTTCACCCCATGGAACATCGCCATGTACTCTGACTCAACAGAGGAGAGTGCCGTCTCCGTCTGCTTCTTGGACCTCCAACTAACAGGTCCACCCCCAACTACGCAGATGTATCCTCCCACAGATGAGGAATCCTCCTTCTCAGAAGCCCAAGTAGCATCAGTAAAGCAGGTGAGAAAGAGCTTGCCTTCTCCAAGCCTCTCCCCTTTCTCCTTCAGCACCTCAACCCCTTTTTGCTTCACCTGTGCAGATGCGGAGTATTGAACTCCAACGCTTGGGTGAGAGTTCAAAATTTTCACCACGCGCTCAGCTGCATCCACCTGCTCCTCTGATGGATTCTGCACCACCCTAGCCAGCTGCCCAATCGAGAAGGAGATCTTGGGCCTCGTGTGAACTGCTGCATACAAGAGGCTGCCCACCAAGGACTGGAATTGCTGCTGCTCCTCGGCTTCAACCCCTTCATCCTCTGCAGCCTTCACAAGCTTGAACTCTGCTGGCAGGGGAGTTGCAACCTTGTGCTCATTCTCAATCCCATACTTCTCCCCCAGCTCCTTGATGAACTTCTCCTGGTGCAGCTTCAACCACCTGTGATCCAGATCCCCCTCCACGTGCATCCCGAAATAGTATTTTACCTCCCCAAGGTTCTTGCACTTGAAGTTCTCCATCAGCTGCTGCTGCACTTTCTGGATCTCTTTCATGCTGCTGCTGAAGAGAAGAATGTCGTCCACGTAGACCAGAAACAGCACCAGCTTCTCCCCCTCCCCCTTGAGAAAGAGACTCTCATCACAGCTGCTGGTCATGAATCCCATCTCCTCTAAAACAGTTGCCAACTTCTGGTACCAGCAGCGTGGCGCCTGCTTCTAGCTGTAGATTGACTTTTTCAGCTTGCACACCCTGCCCGTACCATCCTCATACCCAGGCGGCTGCGTCATGTACACATCCTCCTCTAAAATCCCATTGAGGAATGCCGTTGATATATCCATCTGAATGATGAGTTTTCCACTAATGGCTGCATCTGCCAACAAGACACGGAGGGTAGGGGGTTTGGCAGTGGGAGCAAAGATCTCATTGAAGTCCTGCTTCTCCTTCTGCATAAACCCCTTAGCCACCAGCCTACTCTTGTAGATGGTGACTTGCCCCTTCTCATCGGTCTTGATCCTCAGCATTCACTTGCATTGTACCACTTTCTTCCCCTCCGGCAGCACCACCAGATCCCATGTTCCATTCTCTAGCAGGCTCTGGTACTCAGCATCCCTAGAAGCCAGCCACTTGTCCCTATCTGGTCCAGCTAATGCCTCCTCCATGCTAGCTGGTTCCTCTGATGCAGGGGCAAGAAAACAGTATGCAGGCTCATCCTCCTCATCCGGGTCATAGCCATGAGGTAAAATCAGCATTGCCTCCTCATTCCCAAGCTGCTGCTCTGCTACATCAGATCCTGCTGCCAGCTTCATTGTTGCCATGCGGGTGCGCCCTGGCCTAGAGACGGGTGTTTCCCACCCCTTCATAACGACACCCTTCGGCTTCCTCCTTTGCGGTAGCTTAGGCACCTTACCTTTGCTCTGCTGCTGCTCTCCTCTTTCAGATCCAGCAGCTTCACCAGTGCTATCACTAACCTCTCCTCCATCAGCAGGTGCCTCCTGTACCTTCTCTCCATCACCACCCCCCGCAGCTGCCTCCTCTCCCTCCTCCCACACACTAGGAGTCAGGTCCAGCTGCATGGTGATCTGCTCCATCTGCTGGGACACCCTTGCCTCCGGCTGTTTCTCCCAGCTCCCATACATCATGCCCTCAATGAATTTCACATCCCTGCTGTCAAACAACACACCCTTGGATGGTTCCCACAGCAGCCATCCCTTGCTCCCGGCAGACAGCCTCAAATGCACACACCAGATTGCACTTGCCCCCAACTTACTGCGGTAGGTCTTGGGGACGTGGGCGACTGCCATGCAGCCAAACACCCTCAGCATGTCCACCGGCGGCTTCCTCCCAAGCCACCTCTCCAACGGCACCCACGAGTCATCACCAACCTTAGTGAGCACCCTGTTCCTAGCGATGGTAGCGTGCCGAACAGCGTGGGACAACATAGAGTTGCCAAGCCCAGATTCTATGAGCAGCGTCCTAGCTGTCTCTAGAATGGTCCGGTTCGCCCATTCTGCTACACCGTTGGACTGTGGGAAGTAAACCGTGGTCAGCTTACTCTGGATGCCCTGCTTCTTGAGCCAGGCTGTCATTTCAGTTCCAAGCGTTGGGGCAGTGCAAATTCACATTGCACGACATCCTGCCGTCTGTTTGTACGAGTATGCATGTGCGAATGCATTTGTGTGTGAATGGTGTGTTCGTGTGTTTGTTTGCTTTCGCAATTTTCGCTTGAAGCATTTGCAGGTACTCGCGCAATGTGCGCTCTGGCACAACATTGTACGCGTTATGAACAGTGCAAGCAGAAAGGACGAGCTCGCGAAGGAACCCAAGATGGAAGCTTTGCAGTTCGGTTGAATTGATTGCGCAGATTCAGTTCTATCCAACTCGAAATTGTATTGTATTGTTTGGTTGACTATAGTGTAGCAGGGCATGCACTATAGGGGTACAATTTAGGTGAAGGTTAGATGTTGTTTGCCTGTATCTGCATGCTACAAGGCCAGGGGAAACCAGCGGAACCAGCATTTGGCTGGTTGGGCAAAGACAAAACAGGTTCTGTTTTTAGAACCTGAACCTGGTTGTTGTTTTCCCAGGTTGGAAAAACAGAACCAGAGATTGTTTACCAACCTACCACCTGCTATTTTCCAGCCAGGTTGGTTCTGTCGCTTGGAATTATTTGGGATCATCCCTGGTTGTTCCCAGGTTGATTCCCAAGGTCCTTGCTAGCTAGAACTATTTATTCCTTCTCTGTTTGTACCTGGATATAGTCAATTGATTCAAGCGGATTCCTTCCTTGCTGGAATTTCGTGTCTACACTGTTCGACGGCGGAATGCTACCCGAGTCAACGCTAGTACGCTAGTACTCCAACGCTAGGCAAACGCTGTCCGAGCCATAACTTTGTAACGGCAGAACAGTACGCGAGGCAACTTGGCTCAATTTAAAGCTCTTGGAGCGAGCTTCGATATAGCAAGTTCTCAGCTTAATCCGATCGACGGTCTGCACGGCACGCAGTGCAACGTTCAAGGTACTCTTGTTATTTTACAGTAGCTAAGTCTTTCTTGACTCCTCTCTCTACAAACTCGGACCCGAGGATAGGGGCTGGTCTTGTGCCAGGCACCCAGGGACCCTTGGAGGTGACCCCGAGGAGAGGTTTTAAGTTTGATTAAGTCCTAATAGCTTGAGTTTATTAGGCCCTTACACCAACACCAAGGAACTCACCACCCCGGTCTGTCCTAATCCGCTTCACCACACACTCGGCTTGCTTTTCCACGAACGGCAGCCAATTATCCCGTATTATGGAGGCGGTGTGGTCCTTCTGCTTCAGCGGATATGCCCACATTGCGGAGATAACTCTAGTAACGGGAGCTAGACTACGGGCTAGGCACGTGTGCTCGTGTGATCTTTGCGTTCGTTGGTCCTTAGTCGTTTTCCTAGTGCACACACTGCTTGCTAGTTCACAAGGCAATTTGGCAAGAGTTTCACTAGAGAAAGTTGACAACAATGATACAAAGAAGTTGGCAAGGCAAGACTACATCAGAGCTAGCATGCAAGCAGGTCGACGGCGTGCCAACGTCGCAGGTTGACGGCGCGCCAACGTTGCTCCCGCAGGACAGCAGCGCACCTACTTCGCAGGTGCTCGCAGACGATTGGCGTGCAGTGCCTCGTCACCTGCACAACGCACACACCACATCAACTTCGTGCTGACGACTGCTTCTGATGCACCACGTCGACCTCGGGATACCATCACCGAGGTCGTCCTCGCCAAAAACCACCTGGGCGACCTTCGCAAGCCTTCGCAGCACCTCGTCACCCAGGTAACTTGGTCGACCGGGCAACCAGGTCGACCAGAGGCTCCAGTGCGTGCCCGTCGACCACCCAGGTCGACGACCACTTCCGGTCGACCTCCCAGGTCGACCACTCCCTCTGGTACGTGTCGGTCGACCTCCCAAGTCGACGGCCACCTCCAGTCGACCTCCCCAGGTCGACCACTATCCCCTGGTCGACCAGCTCCAAGTCGACGTCACTCCTGGTCGACCAGAACGGCTGGTCGACTTACCAGGTCGACCAGAAGGTCTGGTCGACTCCCCAAGTCGACCAGAAGGTCTGGTCGACATCCCGGGTCGACCACCTGAAGTTGGCGCCCTCCCGAAGTCGGCGCCCATGCAATGGCTCCCGTGCAGGTCGACCAACCTCGTCGACCAGCCCGCCCACTGCTGCAGGTCGGCTGCACCCCTACATCCGACCACGAAATCGACTCCGCCCAAGCGAGGACGGGGCCAACATCCAACTCCCGTTGACACTCCCCTGCCGCGTTCACGCTTGGGCCCCCAGCCCACACGACAGTACTTCTCGGAGACAAGCTCGTCGACGTGCACCCAACACACAGCACGTCGTCCACCGCACCAGCCATGCAAGACGGCATGGCACCTACTGCTGCACGTTGTCGTCGCCGTCGCCCACGTCGGCCAGACGCACTTGGCCGATTGCAACGGAGCACCGGTTGAAGGCCGGATAGTGCAGCGCCTTCGTGAGGAAGTCGGCCGGCTGCTCAGCGGTCGGAATGTACTGCAGCGCAAACTTCCCCCGCTTCACCATGTGCTGCAGCCAGGCCTGTCGCCGCTCCATGTGCTTGAGGTTGCCCGTCAACCCCATGCCTTCGGCGACTGTGATGGCCGACTTGTTGTCCACCCGAAGGACGGTCGGCTTCCCAGCATCCAACTGCTGGAACTCTGCAAGGAGGAAGCGAAGTCGGCGTCCCTCCTTGCCGGCTTCAACGGCCGCCACGTACTCCGACTCGGTCGACGACAGTGTCGCGCACTTGATGCGCTGGCTCGACCAGGAGACCGCGGCCCCTCCGTAGACGAACACGTAGCCGCCCGTGCTCGTCCTGCTCTGCTTGTCACCGGCGTCGTCGGCGTCCACGTAGCCGACCAGCTCCAGCGACTCAGGTCCACCGCCGAACTCCAGGGCGGTGTCACGCGTGTTGGCGAGGTAGGTGAGGCAGCGGTCGACCTCGCGCCAGTGCTGGTCGCTCCTCACCGTGAGGCCGCTCCCCAGCTTGCTGCAGGCGAAGGCGATGTCCGGCCTCGTCGTCGTCGCTGCGAACTGCAGCGAGCCGACCTTCTGCCGGTATTCCTCCTCCTGTCGCTCCTGTGCCTCCTCGTCGTCGAAGGTGAGCTCGGCGTAGGCGTCGACCGAGACCGGCGTCTTCGGAGTCCGTCCGCCCTGCTCCTCGTCGATGAAGCGCCTACGCAGCTTGTCGGCGTAGCCCTGCTGGTGCAACCACAGCTTCCCCGCCGACCTGTCGCGCACGATCTCCAGCCCGAGGTACTTCTGCACCGGCGAGATCTCGCGCAGCTCAAAGGCGGCCTCCAGCAGCTCCTTCAGCTCCTTCAGCATCGCGGGGCTACTGCTGGCGGCAAGCAAGTCGTCGACGTAGACCAGCACCCAGCAAGTCGCTCCGTCGGCGCCGACCTTGAAGTAAAGGGCCTCGTCGACCTGGCTCTTCTTCCACCCAGCGTCGACCAGCACGTCGTTGAGCGCCAAGTACCACAGCAGCGGCGACTGCTTCAGCCCGTACAGGCTCTTCAGCAGCTTGCACACCCGGCCGGTTCCGTCGTTGAAGTAGTCCGGCTGCGACATGTACAGCATCCGGTCGAGCTTGCTCTGCAGGAAGGCGTTCTTCATGTCGAGCTGCATCAGGTTGAGGTTGAGCACGGCGACGATGCTGAGGAAGATCCTCAGCGTCACGTAGCTGCCCACCGGCGCGAACGTCTCGTCGTAGTCGGCGCCGTACACCTGCGTGAAGCCCTTCACGACCAGCCTCGCCTTCTCGCACTCGACGGTGTCGTCGATGTGGTACTTCGTCGTCAGCACCCACCGGTTCTTCATCACGTTCACTCCCGGCGGGCGTTCGACCAGCTCCCACGTCCCCATGGCGATGAGACTGCGGATCTCCTCCTCCATGGCGGCCTTCACCGCCGGACCCTTCCAGCTTGCCAACGCCTCCTTCACCGTCATCGTGGAGATGTCCCAGCGGTGCTCGGGGTCGGCCAGCATGTCGGGGTCGAGCTCCGGAAACTCTTCATCCTCGTCGGCGTCGTCGTACAGCAGGTCGTCGTCCTCGTCGACCACGTCATAGACCGTGGTGAAGGCGGCGGGAACGAAGAAGTCGGGAGGCCTCCGAAGTCGACCTGACTTCCGGGGTTCAGGCGGGACCACCACCACGTCACGGTCGGTGGACTGGTCGACCACCTCCTGGTCGACCAGCTCCTCGTCGCCCAACTGCTCCCCTTCATCTTCACCGCCATCCTCGTCGTCCTGCTGCACCTCGGTCGGCGTCCCGACCGACTTCTCCCCTGCGGTCAGCTCCCCTGCCGACTGCCAGGTCGCCGACTGCTCCTTGGTCGGCCTTGCTGCTGCCTGCTCCCCTGTGGGCTTCACCCAAGTCGGCTGCACCTCCTCGACCTGCTCCCCTGTCGACTTCACCCCTAGGTCGACCTGCTGCTCGTCGACTTGCTGCGCGTCCTGTCGGCCACCGGCGATGCCCTTGGTCGGCGCCACAGGCGACGTCCCACTGCTCCCCTCATCGCCGGAGGCCAACAACGGATTCAGCTCACGCCGGTCGACGAGAGGAGGAGCAGGGGAGGGGGAGGAAGGGTGGACGACCTCGGCGTCGTCCTCAGCAAGTTCACCGACCTCGGCGAGCAGAGGAAGCGTTGCCGTCGAGGTATCCGTCGGCGTTTTCATCAGTGTCCGCCCTGACACTGGCCCATGCTCCGACTTCCACTCCTCCAGCGACAGATCCTGGTAGAACACCACGTCCAACGTGGTGACTGTTGGTGTAAGGGCCTAATAAACTCAAGCTATTAGGACTTAATCAAACTTAAAACCTCTCCTCGGGGTCACCTCCAAGGGTCCCTGGGTGCCTGGTACAAGACCAGCCCC